CATGCACAATATACCTTCAGGTTGTTGTTTTTGAAGTGAAGAAATAAAATAATAAAGAAGCTAATTAACTTTAGATATTGTGAGCAAAGAGAACCCTGGATAGTTCGGATAGTCACTGTTAAGACCATCAGTTTTTACTATTTTCTCATTACAGAGGCAATGTAAGGAAATGCTTAGCTCACTTCTAAAGAATCTTTGGATACTGGGATCAGTGAGTGTATCACTTGCATTATTTTCAGCTGCAAATAATTGAAAACTAGGCTGAAGGTGGCTTTAAACAGTGATGAGTTATTATCTTAAACAACAAATAATACAGAAGCAGGGAGGTTCCAGAGTTGGTTAACTTAGCAGCAAAACATTATCAGGGTTATTATATCTTTCTATTCTATCACATTCAGTAGTCAGCCTTAGCTTTGTTATGATTCATGCATTTCCAGATGTCCCATGTAACAATATGCAAAACATAAGAGAGTTGTTCCTCCCAGATATCTCTTTTTATTATTCAGCTCCCCAATAGACTTTTCCTCCAATTCCCATTGACCTAGAGTCTTGTTTCCAAATAAGTTGGGGGAGAGGCTGGAGGAGACCATCATCACTGGTGTAAACAACCATTATTCACCTCCTGAGGTTTAAAGATCCCAGCCTCCACTAGTTACGTGGCCATCCAGAGGGGAAAACAAATTTAGGAGTCAGGGGAAATGGATTTGGGTGGGAGCATCCTGTAAAATGAGCTTTTCAGGAAGTATATAAACAGCAGAATTAGTTATACTTAAACCTAGTCTATATAACTTCTAGATTCTATTTTCATAGCAGACTCAAAAATGTTTATTATGCTTTAAATGCTTCTTGGTGGTCATTTATGACTGTTTCCCATTTGCCCTGCACACCTATAACAAAGTACAGGTCTGAAAAGGGCAAGGAAATGTTTTATGAGTTGCCTCTTAAAATCCAAGACCCCCTCCTTTTTGGGAATTAAAACCTGCTTCCTTCCCTGAAGGCAATAATCAGAGACAATAATCTTTGCTGTTTTCTAGAATCTTAAACCACAGGAGATGGCTCAACAGAAGTGTACAGACAAGGGTCATGAGATCATTGCCACCAACCAAATGAAACCACCAATTATTCGTAGTTACACAACAACAGCCTGAAGCCACATGTGACACTGGTCATGAACACCTAAATCCAACCACTTACGCCCTCTATTTATTTTTTTTTTGAGAGTACTGCTTTGCTGCCATGGGTAGAATGCCGTGGCATCATAGCTCACAGCAACCTCAAACTCTTGGGCTCAAGCCATCCTCTTGCCTCAGTCTCCCAAGTAGCTGGGGCTACAGACACCTGCCACAACGCCTGGCTCAAACTCCCCTTATAAGAATCCTGTACTTCTCCTTAAAGACAGGAGGCAGTCTTTGAAATACTAGTCCACCGTCCTCCCCGTTTACCCTCAAATTAATAAACTTCTCTTCCCTTTTCTTTAAACCACTTTTCCTTGTTCTTCATTCTTACTGATTTGGCCTTGGGGACAAGTATTGAACTTTAAAACTTTTGGTAACCTACCAGTGAGTGCTAGACTAGGAAATATACATAAAATTCACCTAATCTTTTGGGAAGGCCTGAGGAAGATGAAGAGGTTAAAATTTAAGGTAACTAAAATGGAGTTTACAGCCATTAAATGGATTTAAAGATACTCTGTTGAAGTGGAATTTTCAGAGTTATAAGGAATAAAAAAAGTGGGAGGTGAAAGAATGGAGATGGGGAAAGGTTACTTGGGGGAGAGGAAAAAAAAAGTCAGATATTTTCATTGCCAGAAAAGACCTAGTGACCTTATGTTTGAAAAAGAGATAAGGTATTGTAACACAAGGGAGGTGGGCAGCATGCAGCAAGATATTAACATTCATAATTTAGCAAGATTTTATATTATTCATAAAAATTCAATTGAACATTCCTTAAACTTTTATAGGAGCATACCTTCAGAATGACGAATCCTGGTGTCTGTCCACACAAAAATGTTTAAGGATGAATTGTACTATATTGTGGGATTCATAAAACAATACTCCAAACTATGAACATGAACTAAAGGAGCCTGAAAGGCCTCAGAAACAAAATCTCTTTCAGGCCTTCTTCTGCTCTCCTGTCTTCCACCTCTTTCTCCCCAAGAGCAAGTCATAGAAACCAGAATTCCTCTCCCCTAAGGTGGGTCATAGAAACTAGAACTCCTCTTTCCCAAAGATAGCATAAAACCTAGAAAAGTCACCCTCTTTCTCCCTCAAATACCCTCATTCCAGAGGGGTCCTGCTCCGTCACCTGGAGGAAGAAATGCTACTCAGAGAGATCAAGAAGAATCTAGCAAGGTTACCTTACCATCTGGTAACCTTTTGTCTAATCACATTTCTACATATTCTTCATTGACCCTAAGCATAAAATAAAGACCTTTTGGATCTTCAGTTCTGAAGGCTCCTAGGCCTCATAAAACTTTGATTAAATAAAATTATTATTCCTTTCTCTTGTTAACCTGTCTTTTGTTACAGGAGTGTTGGCCACATGCCACTTATGGTGAGTGATGAAAGGTATCATAGATTTTTTTCCTCCTCTGCATCAGATACCACACAGATAGATCATTTTTACCAACTAGCTTAGAAAAGGAATGCCATTATTTAAAAAGGCAGATTTAAAACTAGGTGGATGGTATTTTTTTCCAGGACTGTGTCATTCTTTGAAAATTGGAGGGTGGCACCTGCGGCTCAAAGGAGTAAGGTGCTGGCCCCATATGACGGAGGTGGCGGGTTCAAACCCAGCCCCGGACAAAAACTGCAAAAATAAAAATAAATAAATCATTAAAAAAAAACCCAAAACTGGAAGCATATCACATACTTAAATTTCTCCAGTATAATTTCTAAATGTGAAGTACATGTATTTCAATTAGATAAAACTTCAAATGTTTTTATAAAAAAACTTAAAAGAATAAAGTTACATATTCATAACACCATAAAATACTACACATAGATAATGTCACATGTCCCATCACATGTCCATAATTTCTGGTCCAAAAAAATAATATATAGAATGGATAACTTTTGTATTCAATTTAGGGTATTTACTAACCCTTTTAACCTAATCCAGAATTCCTCACACTAACAATTCCAGCTTTAGAATCTCACTTTATTTGGGAAACCAAAAATATAAATTTCAGATCACTTCCTTTATTTACTAGCCTTAGCAGCAAGGAACTTTGGAATATTAAACAATTTAACTCCAACTTCAAAGAAGACATTTTCCACACTGAGAATATTTAACATAATACTGTATACTTAAAGACTTAAAAACAATTAATTCTGAAAGTGTTTCTGCAACAAATCTAGTACAGTAGATAGTCTTCCATGATGACAACTTCTAAGTGGACAAACTTTTATTATATTAAAAATAAGTCACCTTATTTTGTAAGTTTATCTTATGAAAGTAGGTCTTAATAGGTCAGTGCAAAGTATGATTTAAATAAGATTTGTAAGAACTTTATGAACTTAATTTTCCAAAATGAAAGCCACCATTTACTAGATTGCCATGCTAGTGCCACGTACTTACACGTTATGAATTTTCTTTCTTTTTTTTTTTTTTAGAGACAGAGTCTCATTTTGTTGCCCTTGTGGAGTACCTTGACATCAGGCTCATAGCAACCTCCAACTCCTGGGTTTAGGCGATTCTCTTGCCTCAGCCTCCCCAGTAGCTGGGACTACAGGCGCCTGCCATAATACCCGACTATTTTTTTGTTGCAGTTTAGCAGAGGCTGGGTTCAAACCCGCCACCTTCGGTGTGTGGGGCCGGGGCCCTACCCACCAAGCCACAGGCGCTGCCCTACACATTATAAATTTTCAACTTTTCAAAGTTCTAAACAAACAGTTGAGACAAAGAACCAAGAAACACCTGAAGTTCAGTCAGCAACAGACCTCATTTTAGCCAAACTGACAATACGGTGAATTTTTCTTTTAAAAATATGTTTTATTTAAAACTATTTTAGATTATAACTTACTTGCTTGGAAATAAATATCAAAGTGTAACAGATAAAATGGACCTTCACAGTTTGATCAATAGGAACTGTTCCATTTATTATCTCCGAATATATTATTTTAAAAAGGGTTAGGGCTTAACAGTGTTGATTTCTTACATAAAATATCGTGAAAATATTAAGTAAATATACGTCCAGAATTCATATAACATCAAAAAGCAGTTCAACATTTTGAAAACCATTCGAGACCACAGACACTTGCAATGTAAACAGGCTGCAGCAAACCAGTTTACAGTAAAAATAAATGCAATAATTTGAATTTCAAAATATTTCTAATCTGACCATAAGTGAAAAGCTCAGTAAGACAACAGAATCAAGATGAATATAAAACAATTCCTGAGTGTGAAGCAAGAATATTAAAGAAGTGAGAAATGTAGAGATACTGATAGTTCCAAGAGGAGGGGAGGTTGTTGGAACGGAGTAAACCTTAAGAGACTCAAGAGGATTAACTATGTCACTCTCAGGCGAGAAGAATCCACTGATGAAAACTTTGGTGTCCCTTTCCTTTGATGTTGCAAGAGTTTCATTTTCCATTCTTTGCGAAACGCGATTACTCTTCGCGTCTCTCTATCGCCAAGTATACTATTTTAACAGTTCTGCGAACAAGGCCACCAGGTGGGGAAAGGAAAAGAACAGGGAGGAAGCCGGGGAAAGCAAAGGATATGTCTATAGACTACGAGAGAGACTGCAGACTGTCAGGAGGAATGAGCAAAACCTAATTAGAAGAGCTGAGAAGTCGTGGGACAGGAGTCAGAAAGGGTCCGGAGGAAAATAACTAAACACCAGGCAAAGTCGGAGGGCAAGCGTGTGACCCAGAACCGAGGGAGGTGTATGAGGCAGCTGGCGGGGAGCTGACCTGGGGAGCTGTGAGGGTGGTTGAGACCAGCCCGCCCTCCCGCCCTATTTCTTCCGTCAGTCGGAAGAGGCAGCGACCGGTCACCTGGAGTGGGAGTTCCGCAGGGACTCGATTAGGCGCTGCTTCTGCTGCTGGAGGCTGGTGAGGCCACCGGGGGACCCAGATGCGGAGGAGGAGGCACTCTTGGTCAGGGGAAAGAGCCAGCTCATCCTCCTCCGGTCCCCGGGCCCGAGGCCCTGGAAGGCTGTGGCCTGCTTCTCTCAGCTGCTGAGGCCGGCCCTTCTCTGGCCACAGAGGAGCGGGCTTGGACGCCCGTGGCCTAAACGCTGAGGGGACCGCGTCTTCTCTAGCTGAACCCAGCTTGCACTGCCCGGGTTCTGGGACACATGCCACAACCGCCAGCAGCTCAAGAAGCGACGGCTCGCCGCCCGGGACAGGCACTCAAGCGACTCCACCGCGGAGCGTTCCACCACCACAGCCTCCGTCACCTGCGTGCTCCGCCCTCTCCCGCCCGCCCCGCCCCTCGGCGTGCTACGTCATCATCTAGTGCCCCTACCAGGACGTGCGAAAAGCGACGGCGCAGCACGGTGCGGCGTAGCTCCCGTTCCCCTTTCCCCTTCGTTGGGTGAGAGGTGTCTATGGGGCACCCGCTTCCGCCGCCGCTCCCGCCACCACCACCGCCGCCGAGTGCTGTCTCTATGGCGAGGAGGAGGAGGAGAAACGCGAGCTCAACGACACAAGTAGATCTTGCTTCTGCCGCAACCTTGAGGGGGGAGGGCCAGGCTGGGGAAGTAAAAAGGGGGCGGGAACGGTGAACCTGAGAGGATGCGCGATGGCGCCGGCCGGAGTGCGGCTGGCACAGGAAAGAGCTTGGCGGCGGGTAGGGGGAGGGTAGCTGGGGCTGGGGGGTATGTCAAGGGGTTGGCGCGGAGTGATGACGCGGGGGCTTTGTACCTGGGGCTTCGATGTGGGACGGAAATTGTGAGTGGAGGGCGGCGGCCTAGATCGTGAGCTCGTATCGCTCCACTCTGCAGTGCTTGGGAGTCGGTGTGACTCTAGTAAATGTTATCGGTGCCTTCGCATTGGCTCCTTGCCAGGGAAGAGAGTTATCTATGACTCGGATGCCGCTGCTGACCTCTCGTTTCTCGGGGAGCATGCAGTACGGAGGTGCTTCCTTCGGTCCTGAGGCCTGTGGTACCTCCTCGGGGCTTCTGCAGCTGTAGTAGAGAGAGAGTGGAGGAAAGCAGTGTTAAGCTACAGGATCTTTCACGTGTGTGTGTGTGTGTGTGTGTGCGCTTATGTGGTTATCGGGGTGGAGAGAATTATGAAGGAGGAATGATTTCTTAGAGCATTCGAGGTTACATTTATGACTCTTCAGAATTTAGAAGGCAGTCATAAGACCCTCCTCTAACAGTAAAACTGTTAAGATTTTTTTCAAATTCATATGGAGAATGAAGAGGCATTTGGAATTTCCCTGCCTGAGAATCAGTGTTGGTCTGTATTATTGGATACGATGAATGAACCCTGTGTTTATGGGCCAGAAATGTGAGCTCTGTCGTTGGTAACCAGGGAAAAAGCTCCGAGTTTTAGGAAGTTAGAAACAGTTTTACATGCAGACACTCTGTTGCTTTTTTTTTTCTTTCTTCCTCCTGCAGTTACAAACATTCAAACCGTTTCTGTGGCTGTTACTTCTTGTTAGAGTTTTAACAAAATTGTTTTACTTTTGTCTCCACTGTGAATAAATTCCAGTAGATTTTATTATCAAAATTTGAGTATTTTGTCAAGGAAGAGTATAAAAGCAAGTGCTTTACTTTGCTGTGGTAACATTTGATCTTGTTACATGTATAAGTAGTTTTTCTGTTTTATCTGAAAATCATTGACTTCATGAAGTTTTATGCAGAGGGTGAATTGAACTCAGAGCAGTCTTTAATCAATAGAAAGTTTTAAAAATCTGATTAGTTTGCATGCATATAAAACATTATTTTTAATGACAGTGCAATCAGAATGAGGAAATCTGTTCTTTTTTTCCAACAAGATTATCCGTGTGACCTGAGACAAGTCACTTCCTAAACCTTGATTTTCTTTTGACTCAAGGACTTTGAATAAATAACCTCTTAGGTTTCTGCCAAATTGATTATTCTGTGATTCAGATTTCTGATGTGTTTGGTTTTTGTTTTGACAGGTACATAAATAAAAGACAAAGTATTTTATGAAAAAAATCTTCAATCAAGTATAACATTTTGATGCTTGGCATCTAGGCTCCCTTGTGCCCTCACTATGCCAGCAGCAACTGTAGATCATAGCCAAAGAATTTGTGAAGTTTGGGCTTGCAACCTGGATGAAGAGATGAAGAAAATTCGTCAAGTTATTCGAAAGTATAATTACGTTGCTATGGTATGCCCATGACTAAATATTTAAAATGCTGCTTGTTAAGAAAAAAGAGGAATTTTTTAAGTCTCAAAGTCAACCCTTCTGGTTGATTTTTTTAGGGATTAATTTAATCATGAAAAGAAAAATTTGTCAATACCCTCCAGCCAAAATCCATCAGGAACTCACATTAATTTGACACGTTGGGTTTATTATTCATTGCAGTGAGGGAAAACTCATTGGGAACCATGTGACATTTGAGTAAGAGAGACAAAGGAGTTTAGGATTTGGGCTTCTATCAGGTGGCTTTAAGGAAGCAGGGCTTTGCTGCAGATCAGATGCTATCAGAAAGTTGGAATAATTATGTGATTGGGTATCTTTAAAAGTCTTAAATAAGAGAAGACTTGAGTGATGCCAAAGCTTTGGAGAAGCAACAGTCACTCATGTAGCCAGGATGGGGATGTTTTGGCGTTTTTGTGGTTTGAGCATGGTTTATTTATTTTTTTTGGTCCTTGTTCAGACGGGATTACAGAGTGGACTTATCTGATGTTGAAGTTCTGTGAAATTGTTTATGTTCAATGAGAGAACATTGGGGCCTAGCTGTGAGTACCAAGTCAGTTCCTAGCAACACCAAGGCCTAGATGTATCAGATGAGCTCCCAGATACCTTTCCCAGGTAAAAAAATCAGGTCTCCCAGTGAAACATGGTTGGCCTGCAATTATTCTTTTGTTTTAATTATCACCGGAGTTCCATGAACATACTATGCTATTAAGCAACTCTGCTTCTACATCAGTGAAGGGAAGGGAATGGTTATGTTCCCATATCAGTCCACAGTCAGTCCACAATCCCATGTCAGCTCTCAACGTTTCTAATGCTGCGACCCTTTAATATACTTCCTGTGAGTTGAGACCCATTGGTTGAGAACCGCTGTTTACATGGACTATTCAGTCTGTCTGTACTGTCTATATGGTTAAATATTTTTTCTTCTTTACTGTTGTACCTTGTATATCTGTCGCAGCTACTCTGTTTTCTAGATCCGCTAGATTATTTCCTCTTAAAGAAGGAGTTGGTATCTTAATCATGTTTTCTGCCGCCACACTTAGCATAACATGTAGAGTATCAAATAAAATGGTTGTTGAATTAGGTTCAATTTAGAGAAAGAATTTCTTTACTATTTCATACTGACTTGATATTTTGTTTTTGGTTTTCATTAGCCCTAGTTTGAATTCTAATGCTAAAACTTAACATATATTATTTCCTCAGCATTTTTAATACAGATTAATAAAAATAAATATACTTCTTAAGGGGAGGCCGATAAATTGGTTAAAATATGCATCTATATACATGGGTATCATTCTGTGTATTTAATAAAGGTATACTTACTCATCATTAGAATTGATTTTTTTTTTCTTTCCAGTTAAAAATTGATGGTGATCATTTATATCTTAGATGATGAGTGGCAATAGTAGAGAAGTGGTAACATCTACAGGAATGAGTGGACGGCATGCAGGTTTTGACAATGTGCTTTTTGTGAACCATAGAATACTGTCTTAGTCAAAAGAAATTTGGAGGCAAATGAGGCTTTTTGGGAAGGGTTGGAGATAAACCTTGTTTTAGAGAAGCAATTGAAAAGTACAGTACATTTTCTATTCTGTTTAACCAGTTTTTTAAGAAACTGGTTGCATTCAGGAGATATAAATTTATGATGTTTTTCCTCTTTGTTGGGTATAGGGCAGTGGTTCTCAACTTTCCTAATGCTGCAATGTATATTCATTGTTAAAAAGGGGTCACAACTCACAGGTTGAGAACTGCTGGTATAGAGTAAGTAGTTGGTTACATTTATCATGTGTATGTTACATATAGTAATTTTTATATCATATTTAAAGTAAGAAAAAGTTATTAAGTTTAGTTCTTTGGTCCTAAAAGAAATGTTCTTTCTAGTTAAAAGGTACTTTGTAATTGAATATGAACATGTAGAATATCATCTGTAACAGGATTCTTTGACTTGCATCAAAAATTAATTATGCTAAGAATTTGTGGATAATGTTATGACTGTTTAGTAAATAATGAATCTTAAAACTGTTTTACAGGACACCGAGTTTCCAGGTGTGGTTGCAAGACCCATTGGAGAATTCAGGAGCAATGCTGACTATCAGTACCAACTATTGCGATGTAATGTAGACTTGTTAAAGATAATTCAGCTAGGACTGACATTTATGAATGAGCAAGGAGAATACCCTCCAGGAACTTCAACTTGGCAATTTAATTTTAAATTTAATTTAACGTAAGTGGGAAATACATATGTAACCCCAATTTTATTTAGTTTAATTTTAGGAATTGATTTCCAACAAGTATAGTGAAATTCTGAGTGATCTGGTATAGTTATTCTGGAAATACATAAAATGTAAAATTTCAGAAGCTTGAATTTTTTATGGGACAAAATGAATAGGCTAATGAAAATTCAAACACTTAATTTTTAGAGATGCTATGTTAAAAATATGCCTGCCACTTTTTTGGAATTTGGTAAAGTTTGGGGTTTGAAAATACTTCTTGATAGAAAAAGTAATCTTACCACGTTAGTTTTAAAAAAAACTTTTTGTGGGCAATTTTACATATAGACTTTCTTGTTATGTATCCTTTTTGTGAAGAAATTACTATTACGGTCATGCCATTTAATTAGTAAATTACATATCAAATGCAGTAAGACATTTCTTGGGAACTTGGGTATATTTTCCTTTCAAATCAGTGGTTACATAATGGGTATGTTCCCATGTCAGTCCACAAAACCTCTTAACTCACATATACAAGTATTAATATTATCTTGAACCTGGTGTTCCTAATACAGTGGTTCTCAATCTATGGGTCGTGTGGCATTAGAAAGGTTGAGAACCACTTCTTAATACGTCAGAATTTGTAGTCTTACTCAAGCTCTGGGTTTAAAACTAGTTCCCTTAGTCGTAATACTTCTGTATTATTGGTAGAAGTGGTCTTAAAAATTGAGAGACGTTTTAGAGTGTTTTAGGGCAAAGGCAGATTACTTGTAAACTATATGTTGGAGAAATAAAATGTTTAACGTATTGTAAGCACAGCAGGTCCTTGAAT